TGTATGTTTGTAAAAAGTGCTTTTTTTCCTTTTTGCCACTAATGGTAAAACTAATACTATTGCTTTAGCTCTAGCGTCGTTGCTGATGGCGGTGACGTTGACGTTGATGGCCTGTCGTTGTGTGTTTGACCGGCCGTTGGGGAACTTCAAATTCAAGGGGCAAATTACACTCTGTTTCGTTTAGGAAGCGTTAAGGCAGTGGTGGATTTTGAATGCAATTAAGGAGGGTCTTAACCATACTTTATTATTAATTTTTTTTTCTTTCAATATTGTGGTTTTGGAACCCCAATAAATAATAAATATTCTATGCTACATAGAAAACAAAACTGAAATAACGCAAGAATAAGAATTTGCCAATATTTATATGATATTTTTTAATCTGCCCACTATCCATCATGTTGGGCTACAAAAAATAGTTTTTTCTGGTGACCTAAATAAATATATATTTTTTTTTTATATTTTGACCTATTAATAAATAAACCGTTTTGCCTGCGAAGGAATTTCGATTAAAATGGTCAAATTAAAATTAAATAGAACCTAAATAAACATCATCGGCGCATGCCAAAGCATATACAAATATGTACCTAGATACATATCTATTTGTGGATCTTCTATATTTTATTTTCTTTGATTGCATAATCTATATCTACTAATACCTTGTTGTATCTATTTATTTAGTTATCTACACCGCCACTGTCTGTTCACTTTACAAAACGGAAGTGTTACATGCTGTCATATTGACAACATACAGACAACATAGACAGGTTAGCATATATACAACAGACAAAAAAAAAAAACAAAGTTTGCTTATGTACATATGCAGTATAAGAGTATACAATAGATGGTAAATATGGAAGAATGAAAAGATATGGAAAATATAAAATTATTCAAAGAGTAAAATAAGACTCAATAAAATAAAATAAAATAATGTAAGATAAAATAAAATTAAATTAAATTAAATTAAATTACAATAAAATAAAATAATATAAAATAAAAAAATAAATGAAATTAAGTAAAATGAAATACAATAAAATAAAATAAAATAAAATAATATAAAATAAAATAAAATAAAAAAATAAGTTAAAATAAAATAAAATAAAATAAAATAAAAATAAAGTAAAATAAAATAACATAAATTGAAAACAATAACAACAACCACTCACTTGTATGAACATATGTGAAACGCGTCACATTTATATTAAGTGTTGGTTCTGACTTTTGCATATAAATAAAATAAAAAAGCAAAATAAAAAAGAATAAAATAAAATTGAACAAAGAGGAATTAAATGAAATTAAGTAAAATAAAATAAAAAAATATAATAAACAAAAAAATGAAAAAAAATAAATTATTATAAAATAATATGAAAGGAAATAAAATAAAATAAAAGAAAATAAAACAAAAAGAAAGAATTAAATTAAATTAAAAAAAAATTGAATTAAAGCAAAACAAAAAAATTTAATAATATGATAAATTAGAAGTTTAAAAGATAAATTAATAATTATATATAAAAAAATTAAATTAAATAACCAACATAAAAAATAAAATATATTAAATGAAATCAACTAAAATAAAATAAAATAAAATGAAAAGAAATAAAAAACTTTGATAATATGAAAATATAAAATAAATAATAAAAATAAATGAATGAATAAAGTTTAATGAAAAAATATGAAGTATAAAAAGAAGTAAAAAATTAGAAAAATAAAAATAAAAGAGCATAAAAAACTATAAAAATAAATTAGAGAAAAAAGAATAGGAAAATAATAATAATACAATTAAAATAAAAATATAAAAAAGCTAAAACTGAAATAATTAAGAAACTACAATAAAATAATTAAAGTAAATAAATATGTTTGAACATATTTGCTCTGTGATGTCTATTGCAGCAAGGTTTTTGTATAATTTTACAGGCGATTGGCAATTTATAGCGCTTTATAGCTTGGCCAGCAAGACCAGAGCAAAATTTCAGAAAAAATGAGATATATACAGTACGTTTTTGATAAGTATATTAATTCATATAAATTTTTTTATATTGCAATGAACGAAATCAATGTTAAAAATACCTTTTTCCACTTTAAAATATTTAATGTTTAAAATTTAATACTAGTTTGATGCAGCGGCAGATACACTTATTTATTAATCTTTATATATACACGTATGTATGTTAGGAATTATATTTTGTAAGCGCTTTTACTTTATTCATTTATAATTACTACTCTCACTCGTAGTTTCCTCCAGTTCTAATTTTATTCACTGATCACATTCTATAATACTTTCTACTAGTTAAGTTTGTTTTACTACTATCTTTCGAGCAGTCGCCAACCTACATAAATAAGAGTACATACATACAAGCGGACATTTGTTTTTGCACTATTTGTTGGAATTAGTGGAATGATTGCAATTTAGTATAAACAAAAAGCACATGGCACATTTCTATAGAATTTATTACAATGTTGTATTCTTACTCATATGACATCCCGATCTTCTATATACATATATCTATAGTTAGATACATGAGTACGAATATAAATCTAGGTATGTATGTGCATTAGAATATTTGCCAGTCGAATTAATCCCGTGCACATGAGTCAATTTTATTATTTTTGCTTGAAGTTCAAATCTGTGCTGACCCTCGGTCAGGCCATGGGCAGCAAATTTATTAAACGAGCAATTAATGAATGTTGTCAAACGTTGACACTTTTTTCCGCTATAGAGTTGCCAAGTGTTGTTAATTTTGAGTAGTTTTTATGGTGGTTTAGATTTGAAAAAGAGTTTCTTCACTATTTATTGCCCAAAAATATTTTCAGAAATATTTCCAAAAATTCATACTACTTCGACAATTGACAAGTAGAAACTAGGCCAGTAATAAAAATGAAAAGATGCAGTATAAAAGTTTCATCGGAAAATCATCTCGACTGATGAGGCATATTTCCAACTCGCTGGCTACATCAATAATCAAAACTTTTGCATCTTGAGCACGGAAGTACAAAGATTTATTGCTGGAAACCCTTTCCATGCCAAAGGTCTAACTTTTTGGTGTGGTTTATAGACCGGCGAGCTCTTACTTTTTCACAAATTCATGGATTGCGCTATCGAGCGATGATTAATGATTTTTAATGGTCGGAATTGGATGTTATCGATCTGTAAAACGTTTACTTTCAACAAGACTGCGCTTTGTGCCACACAAGCAACTAAAGCATCGATGTTTTAAAGAAAAACAATTTCTGAATTTCTTAAAATAATACCCATTATTAGAAAACCCTATAGTTTGTCTGAGAAATTTATTTAATTCTTTTTTAAAAAAATTTGTTGTACATATCGATGGCTGTTTTAAATCACTCTTCGCATTCTCTTTACTCTGACAACCCTAATACAGCACCATAATAATGTTTAAATTATTTTAATGCATCTGGGAAAAATCCATTTTCCGCGCATTTTAAACGCATAGCAATTGACAACCCTCTGTGTGAGTAATGGAGGAATTGGAGTTAAAATTGCTTGTCGTTAATGGATGAAACTATTAAGAAAATACTGGTCGGCGCATGTGGAATAGTTCTATATACATATTTATACACTTAAATGTATTTATAGTAGTGGAGAAGAGTTTTTCTTTGACATTGAAGCGAAAAAAAACGAAACTATGTACAAATTATATTTACAGTTGGATGAAGCATGGGAAAGTTTCACCCTGAAGTGTGGTTAAGTATGTTTGCGAGTGTGTAAGCTTACTGAAAATCATCGTAAATACGTTAGCTATTTCAACAAGCTCTGAACAGAGTGAGAGAGGGGGATGGAGGGAAGGAGATAGAGAGACAAAGTGAGACAGAAAAGAGAGAGAAGGAGGGGAAGAGAGAGAGAGAAAAAGAGAGTAAGAGAAAGAGAGAGAGAGAAATAGAGAGAAAAATAGAGTAAGAGAAAGAGAGAGAGAGAAATAGAGGGAAAAAGAGAGTAAGAGAAAGAGAGAGAGAAATAGAGAAAGAGAGAGAGAGATAAAGGGAGAGAGTGAGAGGGAAAGAGAGAAAGAGAGAGGGAAAGAAAGAGAGAGAGAAAGAGAGAGGGAAAGAAAGAGAGAGGGAAAGAAAGAGAGAGAGAAAGAGAGAGAGAGAAAGAGTGAGAGAAATAGAGATAGAGAGAGAGAAATAGATAGAAAAAGAGAGTAAGAGAGAGAGAAATAGATAGAAAAAGAGAGTAAGAGAAAGAGAGAGTAAGAGAAAGACAGAGAGAGAGAGAAAGAGAGAGAGAGAAAGAGAGAGAGAGAGAAAGAGAGAGAGAGAGAGAGAAAGAGAGAGAGACAGAAAGAGAGAGACAGAAAGAGATATATCTAATTGGATTCATAGATGTTTCACTGTGCGAATGGGATACAGCTGACATAAGGAAGTATCCTGTTAAGATCCTAAGGCCGAAATTCTGATAGGCTTGTATCTTCTACAACTGAGTCCCGCAAGTTCCCGCTGTCCAAATCGGATATTCGTGCGGGCGAAAGTGACTCCCAATAATTTTGTCTCATTTATTGTCGGAATTTTGACGACATCGGCTTTCGAATTCAGTTCAATACGAAAGACGTTTTAGGAAATATACGAGTATAGAAGGCTTGAAATTAGGTTCTGTGGCATATCTTTTTCTTATAATTGCCGATTTCTGACGTCCATCCATCCTTGTTTATTAGACGTGCTGCAGAGGATCGTATTTGTCTGTAGCGTAGATATGTCTTCTAAGCTTAATGGAGCTTCTTTTATTAAAATATGGTACTGCAGTTTTGCTGCTAAGGGTCCAATTAATGGATCGGACAATCCAGGTTCCATCCCCCAAATCTTCGTTGCTGAAATGGTCGACCTCGGATTTAATAAATCGAATATACATATATTGATCATAAATAAATATATTTTAAAGAAATACAAAAAATATTGAATGTGTTCTTCCTTCTGTCTCTACTCGCTCCTACTAACTTTAAACCTCCCCAGCACTTTTTAATACTGAAATTCTCTATTTTCCTTTCCAGATAATGTCGACTCGAACCACGACGGCACACGCCTGTCCAACAACGACCACGCCCACTTCACCTCCCAATACTCACACATCCTTAGCAGCAACAAGAAACACGCTTGCAATGCCTAGCTTAAATACGTTTACAAATAATTCTGATAAGCGCACACACTACAACAACAACAACAACGATACCAGCAACAACAAACAATCGAACCTTCTCCTCCTCAATACAATGTACGCGCATGCGGAAAGTATTAGTTGGCGATTGCGTCAATATTGTATAGAAGCCGTAACGGCGAGCAGCCGACGACGAAGAAGAAGGCGTGATGATAACAACAACAACAACAACAACAACAACAACAGTAGCAGTAGCAGTAGTAGCAACAACAATAACTACAGCAATTATACAATGAACTGCAGTAGCAGTGATTGTTATGAAAGCAACAATAATAACAACAGCAACAATAACAATAATAATAATCTTAGTAATAATAACAACAACACATCTTCGGATGCTTTGCTACTAGATGCTGCTTATTTTGACTATAACAACAACACAAACAGCAACAGCTCTTTCAGCAGGAGCATTAATTTGAGTAAAACAACAACAACAACAACAACAACAACAACAGATTCACCTGCAACAAATGTGTACAATGTAATTGCGGAAACCTTAAGTACTTGCTGCTCATCCACAGCGGCCACTTACATCGCTGCTCTACTTATCCTCACCACTTTATGTTCCTGTTGCGCCGCCTCACCCTGCGATCTGCAAAGCTGGTGGGATCCACTCAAGGATAAATGTATTCCCTGCACTGTGTGCGAGGGTGATTTAATACCACTGCGTCCGTGTCAATTGCATCGTGACACGATATGCGGCTCTATCTATGATCTGAAGATCGATTGGGTAGTGCTGGCGAAAACGGAGCCCAACTGGAAAGAGGTGAGTGGTTTTTATAATATTAAGAAATAGAATACTCTGATTCACTTTTTAAGGTTTTATTTGCCTTCACCTATTGATCTTAATAGAAACCTGGTATGAGTACCGGGACATAGTAACATAACGGATAATTAGATGTCGTGAGAGCTTACAACAAATTGTGTTTACCTTTTATAAATTTGGTGGTGTTGTTGTTGTTACAACCGCAAACATATTCCCAAAAATAGTTCTTAGGAAATATTACGGGGTAGCGGTTCTTGGCCTGATGAAAGTTCGGGTCGGCCCCGACTGTCGCGGGTTTTTCTGCTTTTTGGTAGACTCTTACGAGAGTCAACGTAAATGCCAACTCAAGCCAAAAGTCTCAATTATTGCAATGGGCTCAACGCGGCGAGCGGACGTTTTACTCTCTCTCAAAAGAAAGGAGACCCACAATTTTCGGTCTTTCTATAGGACACCTTCTATTCGACAGGCTATTAAAAAGGGTGGGCGAATAAGTGAACGAATTTTACAAAAAGTTTAGAAAGTTCCGGGTTCATTGAAGTAGGTTAGAAACTGTTAGCATTGGGTAGGCCAAAGTTCGAGCTCTGGTCTGACGAATATCCGTAAGTTGTAGAAAATTAATTTTTCTAATTGCGGATCTCATCGGCACCGAATGTCTGAGGGTATTTATACTTCGCAATGCGTCAAGCGATTTGTCGCGATAAACCACCTCTTAGTCGTTAAAGATACGTAAATACTGGGGTTCTCCGAATCGAAGGATGTCTTTCTTGTGAAAAGTCCGAGCTCGGGAGCACGGTTGCACTATTTGGCTCTCTTAATCTGTGCTTATGGAAAGAATTCTTAATAGAATTAAATCCGCCACTCTCTTTATTTTGGAATATTGTTCAAGTACCAGATTAGTCGTAAAGAAGAAGGTAAAAAATCTTCGACGTTAAGCTCAAAGTTGTTTCATATCCTAGGTGTGAGGGCGGAATGAAATTATATACGAAAGTGTGCTTCCGAGTTTGATTTCTCGATGAATCAAGGTCTTGCGGTCTGAAGACGGATGATGTTTTTTCGAAAGTGTTTCGAGTTTTACTCATGGCCTTCTGATGTCCATATCTAAGAGCTCCCCTTTGAGAATCGAGACAGCGAGCATTCTTTAAAATAGCACAGTGTGATCCTCCGTGTTGGTGTTAATCCCATTTCAAATATTTCTAAAATATTTCTATTTACCAATATTTCCAACACAAACTCAATCTCTCTCTTTCTCATTTACTCTATTCTACAGCGCCGAAAGGACGACGACAACAACGTCGATTTCGATCAACAACTAACACATGAGGAATTACAGCAATTACAAGATGGAACACTGCCAATGGATTGGCAAACAACAGCGCTCTTCATAGCTGTCTTGGCTTGCTTGTTCTTCTTCATTATAGCCGCTGGAATTTTAGTGCATCACATGCGTCAGTGGCGGCGTATGGAGCGACGACTCGATCAAGGTGAGTGCGAGCGCAAGTGTGTGAGTAGGAGAGTGTGTGCATGAAAATTATGATAACCAAGAGAAAATGTGAAACTGAAACACGAACTTTTATAACCGACACTCGTCAGTGCAATTTCGTATTATAAAAGAATTAGAAAATGTTTAATAGTGACTAAATAGGTGAGGGTTACGCATCATTGTATGTTCTTTTTTTACGCTTTTGTTTTCCATATGAAGTAATAATAATTATTAGACCTTTTGCCACGCTACTGATTTCATGAGCTCTCCACACACTATCACGGTGAGTGGCTAAAACTCGAAACACCTGCGATCATAAAATTTGAATTTTCTTCTTCTTCGGCTGAATTGATGTTGGCCATAAATTTAGCACCAATCAAGGCGTGTTTCCTGTGCTCGCTGGGGAGTCTGTCGTAAAAAGATACAAATTTATTTATTGCTATTGTAAATTTGCAATAGTAACTTTGAATGAATTTTTTTTTTTTTCATTTTATCTTTCACCTCCGCCATTGTAGAGGTCCTTCTACCAACAGCAGGTTAATAATCATAAAATTATGTACGAAATCATATGCTGCCTGGGCGTAGTTGGAGATATTGCATGACATCCATATGAACATACATATTATGCTACAGCTACGAGGGTTGTTTGTTAAGTCAGTGACTTTGAATTTGTCGCGCAGCTAATGTAAATACAACACTGCTCCCGCCAATGGTTATAGATTAATGACTGCTGTGAAGTTTTGAGCAAGATGTGTCTTTAGAAGTAGGTTACTGAGACCGTTAGGGTCGTACCAGTACAAGTGTCGATCGTCACAACAGAAGTCGTCGGAAAAATCCGTGTAATGTTATCGGAAATTGCAAGAATAAAAGTGCGTGAGGTGGATAAGGCTATAGGAAACTCATCCAACTGTGCAACCACTTCGAGGGAGTGTTTGGCGATGTTCAACCACAATGGAGATTAATTTCGTTAACGTAGATGAAACCTAGATACATTACATCGCACCAGAGACCAAAAAACAATCCTGACAGTGGGTTTCTCCGCTTGAACGTGTACCAAAGAAGACCAAGGTGGGCCTGTCAGGCGACAAGGTTATAGCCACAGTTTTATAGGATGCAAGAGCCGTTAATGGCAGCCGCGTTAGCTGATTGGTTAGCGTTACCAGTGTTGGAGTCCCTGTTCGACCAACACTAAAAAGTTATTGAAAATTAATTTAAATAAAAAATAAGTTAATTTTTCTAATTGCGTTCTCTCTCCTCGACATGATATAAAAGCTCTTCATAAAAGTTCATCAGCCGTTTAAAGGCGGCTTAGTATAAACCGCGGGTCCCTCCACTTGTTGGAAAAACATCAAGACGCACACCACAAATGGGAGGATGAGCTCGGCTAAAAATCCTTCAAACGAAATTGCATTGGATTAAACGATCACTGGCGAATGTTAAACAGAGCTTTTGCAAAGATTCGATACTGATTTGAAGCAGAAATTACCATATTTGGTGAAGAAGAAAATGCTTTTCCATCAAGATGCACATTTGTGTAGACAGCCATGGCAAAAATTCATGAATTGGGTTACAAACTGCTACCCCATGCAGCATATTCTTCAGCTTAAGCCGCCTACGACTATTTCTTGTTTCCAAAACTGCGGAAATGGCTGGGTGGTAACGGATGCGGGTCGAATGGTGAGATTATCACAAAAATAAACGCCTATTTTAAGGACTTTGAAAAACTCTATGCCGAAAAAATATATATTTATAATTATTATTATTCAAAAAGTTACTGACTGTTTGTTTTTTTTTTTTTTTTTTTTTTTTTTTTGTATCTCATAACTCGCTCTCCACTTCCTGCCCGTTCTCTCTGGGACTCTACTCAACACACCACTCACGCTGTAGTCTAATAATTCATTGCAACTTTCTAACTATTATTCTTCCTTCTGCTATATTCAATCATAATTTATGCCAATCACGTTCAACGCAACTTTGTCTGTTGGAAAGATCTTGTTCAGTGCGTTTCTAAGTAAACAACAACAGCGATCTTTGCATTGATCTTTGGCAAAGAACTACATACCACTCGCTCTCTATTTACCCACCTCAATGTGTAGTTAGTACAATGTAATAATATTATACAGTAGCGCGCTGCTAATGTCGAGTTATCAGAAACTTGTTTGTTAGCATAAATGTTGTCAATTCTTCTTCTTCTTCTTCGTCTTCGTTTTTTGTGTGTGCGTGGCTCTTAAAATTCCTGTCACATGAGTTCCTAGTTGTTTCTTGTTTACCCATGAATTTTGCTTCTTTTTTATGTGATTTGTTCTTGTGCTTAAAAAAGAGTATTCACTTGATCTTGTGGTGATGGCAGCGAGTAGCCAGCCTTTGAGGTTAACGTCTAAGCTCAATGTTCCCGAGTAAACAATATAAACTTGTATTGCATTATTATTATTATTTATCTACATAAAACTGTTGTCAGTGGTGTAGTTGATGTTATCTCTAAAGAGGGCGCCGAAGTGCCTACATTTTGTGTGAGAAAATCAAAGCGGAGAATCTTGAAGGGAAAAAAAGAATGGTCATTGCTCAGATCTCTTCTAGAACTAAATAATTCAAGACAAGGATTTAACAAAATTTTTGAAAGTTTAGTTGGACATTGGTTGCGGTTTTCTGTATCATTAAGTAGTCAGGGTAGAGAAAGAGAATGAGAGAGAGGGAGAGAGAGAGAAAGAAAGAGAGGGAGAGAGAGAGAAAGAAAGAGAGGGAGAGAGAGAAAGAGAGAGAGGGAGAGAGAGGGAGAGAGAGGGAGAGAGAGAAAGATAGAGAGGGAGAGAGAGAAAGCAGAGAAAGAAGAGATAGAGGGAGATAGAGAGAAAGAAGAGAGAGAGGGAAAGAGGGAGAGGGAGAGAGAGAGAAAAATAGAGAGAGAGAAAAAGGGAGAGAGAGAAAAAGGGGGAGAGAGAGAGAAAGAGATAGAGAGGGAGAAAGAGAGTTTCAAACAATAATTTCAGCAATTAAACAGTAAATGAGTATCGAACTGCTCGCGCTACTCTATAGCTTCAGTATATGCTGGGTCCAATAAAACAGGAGAGAGTGAGAGAAAGTGCTGCGAGTATAGCCAAAAGCATATATGAAATACGGTCTCCCAGCTATGTCCAAGCCTTTGGGAGATTCCTTCAATAGATTGTTTAGTTGCTTCTCTATGCTTTGTTTTCTCTCTTCTGAAGATTTCAAAAAAAAAAGATTTTCTCAATAGGCAAAGCCTCTCGCAGATCGGCGCCTTTAGAACCATATCTTTCATTCCAATTTAGAATGAAATAATGTTTTTGCTCTTGTTCAAAACCTTCAACTTATTTGCTGAAGTAGTGGAGTAGTATTAATCACAGTTTCGCGACCAAGACATTCAGCTCTTACTTCGAGTAAGCAGTACTTCAATCAATCAAATCAAATTCCAAATGATATTTTTCCTGTGGAGATATCAATAGTATCTCAATAGTCAGAACGCATGCTGCGGGTGACCGTTATTAGTATCATCTGACTATTACAAGCCAACTCAAGATTGGGACTCAATGCAATGCTAAACATATTTCCTTCAAAGCTACAGCTGTGAATACCACGGTAAGGCTTGGGTAAGCTAGGTTATTACTTAGTTTTACTTTAGCTCTTAACAAGTTTGGAAGCGTTGGGTAGTATGATTGAGGTAGTTTTCTGCCGTAAATTACGATTGCGACATTTATAAGAAAAGTTGCATAACATCTGTAAACTTGAAATCGTCGTTGAAATATTTGATGGCTTTTAAAAAATGTAAACTTAATATGGTACCAACTTCAAAAGCCGAACCTTTAAATTCCACAAATATTTACTTCGAAAAATGCTGATAAACCTAAAAGTTCCTCCAAAACTCATGCCAACACGCTGATGGCGGTGACATCAATGCGAAAAACTGTACAGCTAAAACCGAAACCGATATTTATGCAGAAAAATACATTTACGACACATTAATCCCATGTATGTATGCACGTCTCAATAGTATTTCTCTCGCACGTTCACATTTGGGCCCCACATAGACGCGCCCTTGGATGAGTGGTAATTCGCCAAGCATAATAAATTAGTTACGAGGAATTGTGGAGTAAAAAGCAAATACTCGCATATAAGAACTCGCATATGAAAATATCTAGCTATATATGTAAGTATGTACAAATATGTACACTTAAATGACACTATTGAGGTTGCATATACAATGGAGTTTTCAACTTCACAATGCTGCCGTACTACGCATTGAATTCCGCAAACAATTTGTGATAGCAAAAAATGGTCAACACGAAATTGAATTCGGGTACTACTTACTACCTGAATACTTGTACAACATTGTTAATTTCTACAAGTTGTTTTAATAAAAGCACGTGACTCGAAGAAGTCTTGAGAAATTGTGGTCGCGGAGAAAAAAAATGAAATTCAATTACGGTGTTTCTGAAATACGTTTGTATTGATGTGGGTATAAGAAAAAAATGTTGGTGCTTTTTTAGGTGAAAACTCTTTCTTTTTCTTTTCTGGGTCTACAACAATTACACATTACCGTTCATTATTGGTCAACGCTTTTAATTTCTTATGTAGCAACTGTTGTAAGTAGAGGTTAAATTGCTTTTTGCCAAATATTTGTATGGGCGCGGAAATGGTGCTTGTTAACATTTACATATAAACATACATATCTAAAATCAATGACGTGATTGCTCTATCACTTGTTACTTTATATTGAATGTGTTGTTACTTGTACTATAAATGGCTAATGAGTTGCCGGTTTTTGAGGTTATACACGAAGAAATTGAGATTTCTACTTTCCAAAAAAGGACAATTTGTAAAAATATAAATAAAATTAAAATTAAAAATTAGAATAAAAGGAAACAAAATCAAATAAAATAAAATATTGTAAAATAAAATAAAATAAAATAAAATAAAATAAAATAAAATAAAATAAAATAAAATAAAATAAAATAAAATAAAATAAAATAAAATAAAATAAAACAA